GTGTGTCTCAGTTGAACTTTTACTTAATAAATGCACTTCCATGGTCAAATCTGCTTCATTTCGGCTTTGGCAAGCTGATTGTGTCATTAATAGGCTATTTTTCCTATTACATGATACAACGGCATGCCATACTGTTCGAGTGCCATCTAGCGACAGGAAATGGTAGTGTTCAATCTTTTCAGTCAGAATTCATTCAACCTTTATTTAGACAGGTAAATCCCCATTGAGCCTCGAGGACTCATTTACAAGAGACCTGATTTCAACAAAGAATGATGACAACAATGGACAACAGTGACAACAATAAACAATTATAAAAAGTCAAATTTTTTATTTATTTATTTTTTACAAATAGGATGGCTAAAAAAAAGTAACAAAAAACATCTAGATTCTAAGGCAAATGTAGAAAACTAAAAATGAAGAATGAATTAAAACTATCATTTCTCAGCCAAAAATTGGTTTATAAATATTGGAAAAATACTTAAACAAGTCGCTTTGGCGCATAAGTCGCAGGGCATGCAAATTATGCAAAAAAAAAAAAAAAAAAAAAAAAAAAACCGCGACTTATCGAGCAAAAAATACAATATATTGAACTGTGCAAAAATCTTGAGTCATTTCTTTATACTTTGCTTCAAAAGTTTTATTTTGCTTTTTAAATTCTCCTGTTCAATAGTTCTCCAGGCTTTTCAATAGTCTGTCCAAGATTTTATTTATTTTTTTGGACTTTGCCTGCTTTATCATACATTTTCTGTTCAGATTAAAAGTCTACCTGGCCCTTTGGATGCAAAGTATAAAAAAATATAGATAAAACTTTTTATTATACATCTTTTGCATTTAATCTGTGGTGGTGGGAGTTCAGATTGATGATGAATATTAATAAAAAATCTGAAAATAGGCCAGGAAACTTTCTTTGTCTCATTAGCATTGAGCTCCCTTCCCTGCATTTTGCAGTTAGTTACAATTGCGTAACTGTAGAGTTAAAACCTATTGTTGTATAGATTAATTTCTTGCATGATGTTAACTGTATGGGCAAGAATGTGATTTGAAGAAATGTTATTAGTCATGTTTTTGTTGTTCTCCCTTTCTCCTTGAAATCAAATGTGTCTCACAGTCTTGTGCTACTGTCGCCACAATTTGTGTCATTTTAGGGACATATCCTATGGAGGTTGTTAAATAAAGAAACACAATCCAGATTGTAAAAGCACAGCGTTCTCCCCAGCTTGGCATTACACCATGCTTTTTAAATTTTTTTGTTTTTGCAACAAATTTTGTGCAATATTTTTCAAATCTTTGACTTCTTTTTGTCTTCATCCTCCTTATCATTTTTTTTATACTTCCGTTTTCTTTACCCCCTTGTTCTTCTTCCAGCCTTTTAGCCCCACTGTCATCTATTTTTAGCTCCTCGTGTAGCTGGCAGAAGAGGTGCGTGAAAGCATGGGAGAGTGTCGGGATTGTGGGGGAGAAATGTGTGTGTGTGTGTTTGGGTCTCCAGCTCGCTACACCAAATTTTCCTGCACGAGGCAAACCGTGCAGTCTTCAGGAAGTCATCAGGGAAAGGATGCAAACAGTGTTGTGCTAAATCTGATGGTAATTACTACCCACCAAAGTTGCTAATTTTAGATGATGAGTAATTCAATTAAATCTCCACAACATGTGCGCTAGAAATAACTGTCAGTAATTATTCTAGCAGATATTCATTAGACCGGGCGCAGAGGTGCTGATTTGCCCGTGTAATAAAGTTGCTGTTAATTTGAGTGGGATTAAAAAATAGATTTTGGTTTATTGGGTCAAATAAAGTCTCCTACATACAAAGTCAGAGAAACAGTAATACATTTTATTTAAAATGCACTCTAGGATTTGAAAAGGATTAATCAAAAGGGGTTTTGTTCCCTCTTAAATTGCTGATGCTCTTGTCACTCGCAGAGTAATGTAACCCAGAATAAAGTTGTTTTGGCCTATAATTACAGATTCTATTTTTTTTTACTTTTGTTTGTCTCTTCTTTCAAAAGACAACAAACTTTATTAGATTTAAAAAAAAAAAGATGTCAAACAAATGTAAACACTATGCAGCTATAGTGTACACTTTGTACAGTTTTGTTTGGAATAAAAAGTATTTTTATGATGCTTGTTGCTGTAACATTATCACTGCATTGTTCCTACTATATTTCAACGGATCAGGGGAAAGTATTTTTCTAATTTTTGACCATAACAATACCACATGATGCTGAACTTGCCACCACACGTTTTTTTTTTTTTTTTTTTTTTACAAAATGCCTTAAGCATTCTGTTTTAAAATAGGAACATCTGTTGAACCAAGTTAAGCTTGAAATTATTTTATTGTTGTTTTTGAGATTGAAAAAAATCGAAGTCTCATGTGGCATTTGCAAACTTTCAATATGCATTATTAAAAATATCACTAACTTTTTCCCCTTCCTTTACTTGCACAATATACTTTAGGTCAGCTGCAAAATTACTTGCTGCATTAATCAGTTGTTGAAACCCATGTAAAAAAATAAAATAAAAACGTAATTGCATGTTTTTAATTTATTCAACATTCCTTCAAATTTCCAGTACAGCTAGTGACATTTTACAAAAATACTTTTTTGTGTATTTAAAGTATAGTAACGGCTTTATACTAGAAACGGAGCAAGGAAAATTCAGTTTTAAATTTGCAAACTGATAACAGTAACTTGATTCTTTAACATTAGGTTTACTGCATTTTACATTGGACTTTGGACTCAAAAGGCATACAGTTTTTTTTATTTTTTACAAATAAGATGACAAAAAAAGTAACAAAAAACAGCTAGGCGAATGTAGAAAACTAAAAACAGGAACATGTCTGCATTGGTCCTTGCCAGGAGTCCAACAGATTCTTAAAGCCACTTAGAGGTCAAGGTCAAGAGCTTCAGATCTTTTAATAAATGCACTATAACGATCAAATCGGCTGCATTTCAAAAATCATTTGTGGCTGCAGGAGTGCACAGAGGGACGACTCGCTGTGCATTTCTTCAAAATTTAACAAGATTAACCACCTAAAAACAATTATTTGTTTGCTCGACATTATAGTAAAGGTGTGTCTCAACTGAACTTTTCCTTAATAAATGCACTTTAACGGTCAAATCAGCTGCATTTTGCCTGGACGGCAGCAAAATGCAGCTGATTTGACGTTTGCTCCAGGAGTTCCGGAGCGAGACGAAGATGGCTTGGTATGGCAAGCAAAGTGTCTCATTAATAGCCACTTTTACCTATTTATGAGACACTTGGCTTGCCGTATTACTCGAGGGCCCTCTAGCAGCTGAAAATGGTAGTGTTCAATCCAACAATTTTCAGTGAGGTCAGCTGGACAGTTTTTTTTTTTTTGTGCTGAAACTTTTTCACCTTCCATCCAGAAGGCTTCATCAGTCAAAGAAACACAACACAAAACTGATTCTTCTCCCAAACAGCTTACTCCAAAGTGGAACAAACCAGTTATGTTGGTGCTAAGATGGTCTTTTTTGCACGCCCCCTCCTCCGGTGCCAGCCCTGTGCCTCGTCGACAGTCATGTCAAACTGGTTCAAAACCAACAAAGTCCATGCTCAATAATCCAGGTATACAATCCAACAATTTTCAGTCAGTCCATCTGGACAGTTTCTTTTTTTTTTTTTTTTTAAAGTTTCAGCACAAAAAAAGAAACTGTCCAGATGAGCCTGACTGAAAATTGTTTGATTGTATACCTGGATTATTGAGCATGGACTTTGTTGGTAGTGTTCAATATTTTCCAGGTCAGAATGAATGAAAACGATCACTTGTCAGTCTAAAATTGGTTTATAAATATGGGGAAAAGAAACATAAATACATCGTTTCGTCATATTAGTCGCAGAGCATGCAAATTTATGCAAAGAAACTGTGACTTATACAGTAAAAGTTACGGTAAATGACTATATTGTAGAAAAACATTGTCTGTCCTCACAACTTCAATGGTTTTCCAAGCTCTAGGTAGCAGTGATTGATATAAATTTTAGCTCTGTGAATTGGTTTGTTCAAATCACTGGATGATTATCAGACACTTGAAAGTTAAAAAAAAAAAGGTGTGGGAGGGATGGAGGGGGTAGAAAGCAGCCTCGTGTCTTTGCAGCTGCTCATTGGTTGGAAACACAGACTGTGGGAGGAGCCTCAGCGCTACTGTTTCTGCCGAGAGAGGCAGAGGGAGTGAGACGGTGTGTGAGAAACAGACAGCGGAGCAGAATAAATGAACACGGGGGTTCTCCCGACAGCAACAGAAGTAACTGCTGAGGTGATTTTTTTTTTTCCTGTATTTTTGTTGGAGCTACTTTTTGACAGCTATCCCACACGCAGCCTTTGTCATCTCAGTGTACAGTTTTTTTGCTGTGATTTTCCTGCGACAAACCAGAATGAAACTGACACAGATATGCAGATGGAGCAGTGATCTGAACCAAGGATAAAACCTGAAAGCAGAAGAGAAATGAAGCCTGTTCGTTCCCACAGTGTATGTGTGGAGCTCATTAAACAATAATGACTTTCCTTTGGATCCTGTGCTGGTGACTCTGTGGACTACAGATTAACAAAGCATTTCCAATCTGGAATTTGTGCAGCTGCAGCAGATGTTGAGGACATCTGAGACTTTATAGGGAATGGAGGCCGTTCAAGCCTAAGCTGGACCTAAATTCCTTCGAAATTTGCTTGTTTTTTTTCTGCCGGTACCCGGGAAATTTATTCATGTGCTCAGGAGTTTAAAAAAAGGAAAAACAATTGACTTTTCTGTTTACTGGATTTTTTTTCTTCACTGGTATTGCAATTGCCTGCATTTAGGACAATACCAGGGGACTGTTTGACCTTTATCTGCCCTCTTCATCATTGCTGTCCTTAAAATGCTTCATAAAGATATTTGTTTGGACTGAAACCACAATGCTTTCAGAGGCAGCCAGCTATCTGACAAAATAGTGGGTTTTTGGATTTATTGTTCCCTTAAAGGGCCCCTTTATATGTATCACATCCCAAGATCATGAATTCCTCCCTGGATCTGCTGAACCAAAGCTCCACTGACTCGTCCTCCTCTCCTGCTCCCTTCTGCTTACTTGAGATAAGCTATTCCCAAATTTTCACCACCTGCCTCCTTGAAGTATCAGTCATACTTCTCCTGACTGTTCTTATTATTTGTGGTAACTTGATGGTGATTTTTGTGTTTCACTGTGCCCCATTGCTTAGTCAGCACACCACCAGTGCATTCATCCAGACTATGGCATATGCAGATCTGCTGGTGGGGGTCAGCTGTTTGTTCCCCTCACTGTCGCTGCTCCATCATCTGGAGGATCTGGATCCCAAGCTCACCTGCCAGGTGTTTGGCTACATGGTGTCTGTTTTAAAGTCTGTTTCAATGGCGTCTCTGGCGTGTGTGAGTGTAGATCGCTACATTGCCATCACACGACCCTTGACATATTCCTCACTAGTGACGCCTTGTCGAGTGCGCTGCTGTATTGCGCTTATCTGGTTCTACTCGGCACTGGTGTTCCTCCCCTCTTTTTTTGGATGGGGCAAACCTGGCTATCATGGCGATGTGGTGGAGTGGTGTGCAGTGGAGTGGAGGACTAGTCCATCTTTCACGTCCTTCATTGTTGCACTGCTCTACGCCCCAGCCGCTCTCACCGTCTGCTTCACCTACGCCAACATCTTCAAGATCTGCCGACAGCACACCCGTGAGATCAGTGAGCGTCGTGCACGTTATCGACCCCAAGAGCAGCAAGGCCCAGGAACGGCAGCAGGATCTGTAGTCAAGGACACAAGCAAAGTGGAACAAGGACAGCGTCCCCACTCGTCCCACACGCACAAGCCCCAGTACCAACAATTTCATTATCAACAGTCCACGTCAACATACCCAGACAAGCGATATGCTATGGTTTTGTTTCGCATCACTAGTGTGTTTTACATCCTCTGGTTGCCCTACATTTTGTACTTTCTGCTAGAGAGCGGAGGGTTATACCACCACCCTGCAGCCTCGTTTTTTACCACATGGTTGGCAATCAGCAACAGCTTTTGCAACTGTCTCATTTACAGCCTCTCCAACTCTGCTTTCAGGAAGGGTTTGAAACGCCTCTGCTCCTTCTGTTTACAGCGCAGTGGTGGTGGCTTCGGAACGAGGAACATCAAGAAGCCTTTTGTCGGTTCTGTGGAAAAGGGTTGTGATGGGCAGGGCTATGGATATGGCCACAGGGAAATGGGAGCTGGTACAACATGTCATGTGTAGTTCAAGTGCAGAAAAACATTTGTGACAAGTTTGAGCTTTGGGCAGAAATGTCTAAAAGACTCCTTTAATTCTAGTGCTTTCTAGGAGATTGAAGAAGGCATTGTTCTGTCACTGCTGTTTTTATTGCAAATGATTCACTGTTCACAGCTGGAAAAGACAGGAATCAAAGTCAAAACCAAAGCCGCGAAGAATAAAAGGACTTATTTGTGCTTCAAAGTGCATTTATTGATCACAAACACATGGGGTACTATGTATTAGGGGCTAATTGATGAAGTACTTGCATGCGAGTAAGAAAAGGGTCTCTGTGTCCTGTATAGTAGTAAATGTTTTTGAGGTTAAACCAAATGTTAATCTCCTGGCGTTCTGTTTTTGGAACTGAATACTTAACTTATTTTGCCAAAACAACAAAATGATACAAGAAAACTCTTCTACCAAGTTTTTTGTGTTGTATGTGGAACAATGTGACCTTCGTGGTTGACAAGCTCTGTGATGAATGCAACAAAAATTAAATCCGTCTTATCAGAACAAACAGCTGCTATGATTGACTAAGATTGTACTGAGGTGATTTTTGTCATCTTACCTTGGCAGATCGGTAAATAGTTTTTGTTTTTTGGTTGTGAGATTCACGAACTGAGCAGAAAAAGAAATCTTTTAAAGCCATTTGTAGCATTTAGACACTTCTTTATGAACTCTGAGCTAAAGATTATAAATGTTGTTAAATGTTTTCAACCAATATGTGGGTTCGCACGCTGCACCTGTTATGACTCGCCTTTGGTGTACGACTGTTAAGACTGACAAAAACAAATGTAGGTTTCAGTTATTTTTTATTTTTTTTAGTCTCCAGTAATATTTTAAAAATAAAATCTTGTTTCGTTGCAGCTTTATTTTTTTAAACATGTAGCACAAATTTAATTAGGATGTCTTTTGAAGAAAAAGATATGCAAACAATATTTTAAACTATATAGATTATTGGTACATCAGAGATTATTGGTACATCATTTGATGTCTTTTGATTAAATGTAAAATTTAACTAAATTTTGAATCTTGACCTTTTAGGATTTAATACAAATAGCCATAGCAATAAAACAAAATTACATGCATAACTGTAAAATTATACTATTTGCAAAGTCTTTTAACTGAATCCAAACACTCCTGTGGTAAACTAACGTGTGGTGTGTGTAAATGTCATGAAGAGAGAACTTAGGCACCATTTTTTTGGTGATGTGTTGCATTTGTAACATGTGTGTGCACATTTACATGGTTATTTTCAACAAGCGCTTAACTCAAATTCAACATAGTCACAAACTAAACTCTATAAAAAGGTCATCATTTTGGAAGTTTCAAGACATTTGTTAAATTATATGCAGACTTGTTTGGCTTTTCATCTCTTGTCTATAGTTAAGTGCCAAAGGAAGATCATAATCATGAATTAAAAGTATGTATTTCCTTAAAAATTTCCCATAGTCATATTTGATAAGTGTTTTTTTTATACAGAAGTTATGTGAAGTGTCCATTGCACTGTTAAGGATTAGTGAAGCCTTATGTGCATGATTGTTTCTTTTAGTGTTTTGTATAGTTGCCTTAATTTAGGGGAAAACATCATAAATTGAACTGTTAATGTTTTTTTTCCTTAAACGTCAAGCGAGGGCTCAGTTAACAGGCGCACGACTGTTTTTAAAAGGTGCAGGCTGACAGCTGAATAAAAATAAGTCAGCAAGAAGCTACTTTATTCTACATTCACATTGGAATACTCTTTAAACTAGGGATGCACGATCTGGGATTTTTGGCCGATATGTTGAAACTTATTTGGCCGATACCAATACCGATATTTTTCCCCCTAGACCTACTTACAGAGACTACATAGCTTCCTCTGCTGTGGAATAAAAACACATTATTCTGCATGTTTTTTGTCATTTTGGCCTGCTACCAAATGCAGATGCCAAAAAGGGGGCTGAAAATGATGCAACACTATATAAATATATAATACATATATAAGAAAAACAGCACCTTTTATATCTGTGAGTTATTTTGATGGAATGGCGTATGTCCGATATTTAACTTTATTGCTAATATTGGCCGATACCGATAAATGCCGATAATATTGTGCATCCCTACTTTAAACACTTTTTTTCTGAAAATAAATTAATCAGCGTTTAATCCTCTTTATAAGTTCATACAATGCAGTAATCATTCCTCTAGTAACAAAAATGATATTTGTTTGTTCTTGTGCGCTTGGAGTACACAAGTGTTGCTGTTATGCTCAGATTTAACCAACATCTGACTGTTCACTGTGCTCTGCTCTCTGTTGTTGTGAGTTTATACAGTTTATGACTACAGTATCGTTTGATAAAAGTATTTTTAACATTCAGCTGCCATTTGTAAGTCTTTGTCAAATATTGTAATCTTTTTATTGGGACCTTAATCTCTTCCACTATCTGAAGAATTGTTTACAAAGATGCCAGATTGGATTTGTGATTATCAGAGTAAACTTTTTATTTTTATTTTTTTTTCCCACATTTCTTTCTCTTGTGAATTGATAAATGTTGTGCTGTCTGCGTAGCTCTCACAGCATACTTTCCAACAAGGTAGTTTTTTTTTAATTTTACAAATACATTTATATTCCTGCCATGAGCAACGTCCTTGCAGTTTGGAGGAACAGCTGATGTTAACTTTAAGTTAAAACTGAAAACCCGTTTTGTGTCATTGTAGGTATTTGTACAGATTTTTTACAACAGTGTAGATTCAAACAAAGTGTAAAAAGTTCAGATGCCAAAAAAAAGCTCAATTTAGTGATCAAATGATGGAACTGACTAGTGGCTGTGAGGAAATTCATTGCCATGTTGGTTAAAACGAAGTGAAGATGAAATGCTAATATGAGAGCTGGTATACAAAAGTGTTTTATGCTGAAATGTCATTTTATTGTAGAAGCAAGATTGTTTGTGGTGGGCAAACTGAGTAAGCGCCGCATTTAGGAATGAATAGAATCACGAAGCCACTGACACGTGAAATTATATTTAGCATAAAAATATTAATATAGTGGGATGTAAATTCAAAGATCAAAGTTTCTTAACTTCCATACCTACTCATTTTTTTGCATTTCCACAATAGCTAAAGTTTCTTTTGAATTCAAAGCTTGAAATGATTGCAGGCTTTGCAGAAAATGTGTTGATTCGCTGCCATTTTGGTTTCTTTCCAGTTCTTTTCTTCAATTGGAAGACTTTAGGTGCATCTGAAACAGATGTAAAGGAGCTGCACATGACTGAAAGTGTAGTTCCTAGCTTATTTTTTCATGTTAAGTTATTTAAGTTATTGCTTTAAGCTGTTTAATTGTTACTTTTTTTGTGTGCCACGGGATAATAGCAAATGAAACACTGTCTAAAAAAACGTAGTTGTCTTTAAATGCCAAAGATCTGATCAGATTTTTAACCAAAAATATTTTGTGAATCTGTCACGATGGTCAAATAACAAGAGGCTGGATTGTAAGTCAAGGTATAAATATTAGAAGTTTTGATCACAAATGTTTCTTTGTCAATAATTTCTGACCAGTTTGAGTTCGAGCACATATCACACGAGACAAAACTGTCCATTTGAACTAAACCTTGGTCCAAAAACATTCCTAATAAAATATCCTCTCTCTATATTTAGTTATTTCACAATAAATGCAGAGAATTTGCTTAGCAAACAGCGAGGCCTTGTACGTTTGAGACTTCTGAAAAGAAAGCCAAACATGGAGAGCTACTGATGTGAAGGGCACGTTAGATTTTTATTTCTTTTTACAGACTGTGAATGTTAATCTGAAAAGGTCAGACTTGTTTAATTATGCTGTTTATGAAAGTGAACGAGACTTCTGATTACATGGCACTTTGTAACCAACCTGCCTGTGGTGTATCTGTGCTGAACAAATAAATGTCATTGTATCTCAGTGTGTAAAAATGATCTTGAATAATTTTCGTTATGATGCCCTTGATGTTTAGATACTGCTTGTTTGTGTGCGTGAATGGGTGCCAAGAGAAGAAAACAAAAAGAATATCAAGTCCTTGTTGAATCTTCAGATAAAAGTAAATATTTTCAGGTTAGCTTTTTGTAAATACATTATTATATCACATTTGTACCAATTAAAATGTCAGAGGAAGCTGTTGGGGATGTTATACTTTGTTTCACTGTATTATAATTTTAAATTAAACTATCTTTTGACATTTCTGTTTTGATTACTCATTTTGTTTGTTGTGCTAAAAGAGTATTATTGCTCAAGTGGTACAAAAAGTATGGCAAATATTAGGTTTTACTGAGGATGATGCAAAGGTGAGTAAAGCAGTGTTGGTTACTTTTGCTTACGTTGATAACAAATGATTTTAAAGCAAAGCTGAGGACTTAAACTACCGTATTTTCCACCGTACACGTCGCACCGCCGTATAAATCAGTTCAAAAATGTCTAATAACGTGGAAAAACATAAATAAGTCGCTTCGCCGTATAAGTCGCATCTGTTATGCGTCACCACTGACCACCCGGAAAAAATCGATTGGCTGCCAAATGGCGGCCGTGGGAGCATGCACGGGAGGACTTTAACAAGAATTTAACAAGATTAATACTTATAATAGATACATTATATACATTATAGTAAAGGTGTGTCTCAGTTGAACTTTTCCTTAGTAAATGCACTTTAACGGTCAAATTAGCTGCATTTCACCTTGGTGGCGCGGCGAAATGCAGCAGATTTGACGTTTGCTCCAGGAGTTACGGAGCGAGACGAAGGTGGCTTGCCAGGTGCCTTATTATTAGCCACTTTTACCTATTAATGACACACTTGGCTTGCCATATTACTCAAGGGTCCTCTAGTGGCTGCAAATGGTAGTATTCAATATTTTTCATGTCAAAATGAATGAAATTTTCAGCTCTTAGCCAAAAATTGGATTATAAATATGGGGGAAATAAACGTATATTAGTCGCTTCAGTGTATAAATCACAAGATTTGCAAATTTATGCAAAAAGGTGAGACTTA